TGTAGGGAAGGGAAGGGTATGCTAAAGTGTAATTTAATCCATAATCGGGGCCGCTTGAGCTGATTAGGGTGATATCTGCTAAGGAATGTGTTTGATTGTATATTCCTTTCTTCCCATTTGTGTTTTCACGACCTGAGCTTTCTAGTTTTATTGACTGTGTTCGCTTTCCTTTGACAGCTCTCTTCCAGATAATCAGGACAGCAACTAGTGGTGGCATGGCTTAGTGGAGCTTTGTTTTGGACTGTGTCATCTTCTCTTAGCCTAGTAGAAAGTGCTATATCTCTAAATGTACTGTACTAGACCCTGTTCCTGTTCATGTTTTGATGAACTTTGAGAATTTTTAATTAAAAATATATTCTATTGTTCGTCTTGCCTTTAATTGTATCGTATTACTTACGTTTGGAGTGAGTGGGATGGATAAATTTTAAAAATTAGTTATGAATCATGAATATGTTCATGCAGAACCTCAAAGCTGCCCATGGCAAGGACTGAAGAGGTTTTGAACCTCAAAGCCTGTTATTAATCCTTATTATGTCATGCCAGCCTGTCAGGAATTATTCGATTGATTGGGGGATTTTAATGTGGTTCAGAAATTTATTTTTAGAGAATAAAACAAACAATATGAATTTTAGAGATGTCAAATTGAAAGATTGATTTCAAAAGAAGATAATGTAAAATGAACCACTCGAACATTAACTTTCCTTTGAAAAACATTAAAACATGTTAGGATACAACATTTTATAAAGTATATATTGCCTTCTGTGATTTAGATTATATTGATTTGCTGGCATATATTCAATGTAGCATAGGGTTTGGGATAACAGTGCCTCAGGCTCTCCAGAAGCTTGCGGAGTTAACAACCAGACATTATCATCACTACCAAATGCATAGCATCATAACCGTTTGTAATTTTTCAACATCAGGGTTAGCTATAAAATTATCATATATTTCTTTCATCATTTGTCGACTAAAAGAATCATCATGTAAATGCAACTAATTTTTATCAAGGTGAAGGACAAGGACAAATATATAAGGTTTTCATGTCTCATATTTTCTCACGGTTTTCATGTCCCATATTTTCTCACGATGAATACAAAATGCATCCAATAACAATTGTCTCAAATTTTTGACATTAGGATTAGACATAATCATAAAAGGATCATATAACTTTGTCATCATTTTTCGATTAAAATATTCACTATGAAAATGAAACTGATTTTTATTGATTTTGGGGATAGGGACATTATTGTACACACGTAACAAGCACCACACGTGCTACTCTCAAATCCCAAAGCATCCCCAAGAAGAGGAGTGGGTGAAAAAAGCCTTATAAACCACATGAATACCATTTAATAGCTAGGTAAAACAGGAACCAAGTATATCCCAAAAGCCGTGAAGGCTAGACGAAAATATGAAAAGGGATGCTTGTCAATTGTTTGATGCACAAGCATGGAGTTAGCTAACAAAAACATTCTAACTACCACTTAAACACCCTTACATGCGCCAAACTCGATACCACCGAACCAACCACACCTCTCATTACCAAAGGTATACAAGCAGATGAAACATCAAATGATGTCAAGTTTGACATAACTAGGCATGAAAATATAGGGGATATATATAGGATTTTATTACCCTATACTTTTCTCATGATGAATATAAAATGCATCGAATAACAATTGTCTCTACTTTTCGACGTCAGGCTCGTGCATAATCATAAAAGCATCATATATCTTATTCTTCATTTGTTGATTAAAACACTCATCATATAAACGTAATCGATATTTACTGAGTTCAGAGACAAAAACAAATATATAGGGTTTTGATACCCAATGTCGTCTAAACATCACTACCAAATGCATAAAATCATAATAGTCTCTAATTTTTTGACATTAAGGTTGCCCATAAAAATATTGTGTACCTCTTTCATCGTTTGTCAACTAAAATAATCATCACATAAATGCAACAAATTTTTATCCAAGTGTGGGACAAGGACAAATATATAGGGTTTTATGCCCTACAAATACAAAATGCATCCAGTAATAATCGTCTCAATTTTTCGACATCAGGATTAGGCCTAATCATAAAAGGATCAATTACCCTTTTCATCATTTGTGGATTAAAATATTCATCATGTAAATGCAACCAATATTTAACGAGTTTAGGGATAGGGGCACTATTGTACACATGTAATATGCACCATGCGCACTACTTTCAAATCCTCAAGCATCCCCAAGAAGAGGTGTGGGTGAAATAAGCCCTTAAACCACATGAATACCATTTAATAGCTAGGCAAAATAGGAACCGAGCATATCCCAAAAGCCATGAATGCTAGAGGACAATATGAAAAAGAATGCACATCAACTGTTTGATGTAGGAGCATGGAGCTAGCCAACAAAACCATTCCAACTACCACTCAAATACCTCCACGTGCACCAAACTCGACACCATTGAGCCAACCACACCCCACATTGCCAAAGGTATGCAAGTAGATGGAACATCAAGTGATGTCAAGTTTGACATTGTTAGGCATGAAAATGTAGGGGACATATATAGGACTTCATTACCCTATACTTTTATCATGATGAATATAAAATGCATCGAATAACAATTGTCTCTACTTTTTGACATCAAGCTCATGCATAATCATAAAAACATTATATCATATTCTTCATTTATTTGATTAAAACAACCATCATGTAAATGCAGTCGATATTTATTGAGTTTAGAGACAGAAAAATATATAGGGTTTTAATATCCTACATCTTACCATCATCACTACCAAATGCATAGAATCATAACAATCTCTAACTTTTTGACATTAGGGTTGGCCATAAAAAGATCATATACCTTATTCATATTTGTCGACTAAAATAATCATCAAGTAAATGTAACCAATATTTATTGAGGTGAGAGACAAGGACAAATATATTAGGTTTTTATGCCCTATATTTTCTCATGACAAATACAAAATACATCCAATAACAAAATCTGATGAACATATATAAGACTTTATTACCCTATATTTTTCTCATGATGAATACAAAATGCACCAAATTACAACTACCTCTACTTTTCGGCATCCAACTTGGGCATAATCATAAAAAAGGATCATATATCCTATTCATCATTTGCTAATGAAAACACCCATCATGTAAATGCGATCAAATTTTAACGAGTTCAGGGACAAAGACAAATATATAAGGTTTTAATACCCTGTCTTCCCATCAACACTACTAAATGCATCAAATCGTAACCATCTCTAATTTTTCAACATGAGGATCAGCCATAAAAAGATCATATACCTTTCTCATCATTTGTTGACTAGAAGAATCATCACGTAAATGCAACCGATTTTTACCGCGGTGAGGGACAGGGACAAATAAATAGGGTTTTATGTCATATAATTTCTCATAATGAATACAAAATGCATCTAATAACAACTATCTCAATTTTTCGGCATTAGGATTAGGCATCACCATAAAAGAATCATATAATGTTTTCATCATTTATCAATTAAAAAATTGATCATGTAAATGCAATCGATTTGTAACGAGTTTAGGGAAAGGGACGTTAATGTACAAATGTAGCATGCACCACGTGCACTATTTTCAAATCCCCCAAGTAGCTCAAAGAAGAGGTATGGGTGAAACAAGCTTTCAAACGACATGAAAACCATGTAATATGTAGGCAACACGGGTACCCAGCACATCCCCAAAGCCATGAAGGCCAGAGGAAACTATGAAAAGGGACACACGTCAACTATTCGATGAACGAGCATGGAGCTAGCCAACAAAACATTCTAAATACCACTCATACATCCTCACGTGCGCCAAACTTGACACCACCTAATGAATCACACCCTACATTGCCAAAGGTATGCAAGTAGATGGAACATCAAGTGATGTCAAGCCTAACATCGTCAGGCATGAAAATCTAAGGGACATATATAGGACTTATTACCCTATACTTTTATCATGATGAATACAAAATGTATCGAATTACAATTGTCTCTAGTTTTTTACATCTGAGTGTAGTCATTAAAGGATCAGATACCCTATTTAATGGAAACCTCTTGGAGAATCCGGAATGGTGTTGGCTTATCCTTCATGTTTCTCCCTAGACCTTTGGCTCCTTGGCACTTCTCAAGCTTCACCAAAGCCGTCAATGGTAGAAGAAGCTTTGAATTTCACCTTAGTAGGTGAAGACCACTCTTCAAGTGATGCCACTCCTTGGAAGAAGATGAATTACTTCAATACTCACCACACTCTTGTATGAAGAGGATAAGAGAATTGGATAAAAATCAAAGAGGTTTAAGATTTTTAGGAAGAGAGAATTCAGAGAAATGTCTCGGCTATGCTCTCATATATCAACCAAAATTCTTTACATAGTGAAGGAAATGCCTTATATAGATAATAGGTAGCTTATGAAGTAAGCCAGTCTAACCATGGTTTAAGTAGAAATATGGTTAGCCTTCTTACACTTAAGCTAATTAACCGTTTGTAGTTACCTTCCTAGAAGCTTGTGGAGCAAGCTAAGCTAGAAGCTTGGGGAGCAAGCTAAACTAAAGCTTGTGGAACAAGCTAAGTTAGAAGCAAGTGTTTTGGAGAATCTAAAGTGTAACTTGACCAAGTAGAGAGCTATGCGAACTTGGCTTGTTTCCTTCACTTAAACCAATCCAAAAATGTTGGAAATGATTTAGTTAAGTTCACCAAATAGTGGGGAAACCTAGCTAAATCAACTCCTTAGGAATGATCTATCCTTAGATCCAACTCTTCATCATCAATTTTAGCATCACCTATATAAGGCATAAGATCACAAACATTAAATGTATTATTAACACCATAATCAAAAGGTAAATCTAACTTAAATGCATTATCATTGATCATTTGGAGGACTTGGAATTGACCATTTCCTCTTGGACTTAGTTTGGGCTACCTTTGTGTAGGAAATTTATCTTTTCTTAAATAAAGCCAAACTAAGTGTCCTTCCTTAAATATAAGTTTCTTTCTCCCTTTGTTGTTGTAATCAATATATTTTTGAGTTTGTTTTTCAATTTGGCTTTTAACCTTCTCACGAAGTTTCTTTATAAAATCTACCTTAGATACTCATTCTTTATGTAAATAAGAAATGTACTAGGCAATGGAAATATACTAAAAGGAGTGAGAGGATTAAAGTCATAAACAACCTCAAAAGGAGAAAGATTGGTAGTCTTGTGGACTACCCTATTATATGCAAATTCTATATGAGGAAGATGTTCATCCCAAGACTTCTTGTTGTTTGTTAAGATTAACCTTAATAGTGTAGATATGAATATATTTACTACTTCTGTTTGCCTATCTATTTGTGGGTGACAGGTAGTAGAGAATAGAAGTTAGG